AGACCTTTTAATTAGGAGCTTGCAGACATGATGCTGTCCTTAAAGTGGACATATTACTTTGCCTAACAAAAATTGCCTTTGTACAGCTTTTTTTTGTGTGTGGCAGTTTTTTATCGCACTATCGTGCTGCTCTTTATCGGGTTGTTGGTGACTGATCATTTAAACAGCACCCCAATACATGGATTTGATGCAATCTTTCAGTTATTCTTATATAGAAGTGTCCTTCACTGTTACTTGTTCTTTTCAGTTTCAGAGGACTAACGAGTTACTATCCTGGCCCTGCACCTCCACCCCAGCACAGCCAGGGCCTGGAATGTGGTGGACATGCTCTCTGACCTGCTGTGATAGTTTCACTCTAGGCCTTCCTGGAGACCAGCTTGTAACCAGGAAGGAACTAGGAAAGTGATCACGGAAGTATTCCGTGCTATTCCTTTACGTAACTTGAGGTATAAATAAAGCCAGTAGGAGGGACCTCGTGCTTTTCCTTCCCGGCGAGGTTCGAGAACGGTGGGTCCCTGTCTCGGTCTGGCTTATCTGGAGCTGAGGCCTACAGTGACTGCTGTTATCTGCCACATGTGAAGGGAGAGCGCTGGGCCGTGTCCAGCCATCCTGCCTGTTCAAAGGGAAGTGGTGAGGTTTTGCTAATTTACCTTCAGTTGGCTGGTTGACTTGTTTGGTCTTTGTCCCTTTTTGTCCTTTTCCCTTCTCCCTCCCCTTCTTCCCTTTTTGGAGAGCTGTTTGAGATTTCTGGAGTTGTGGTGTATAGTATTCTCATTGTATATATCTGTCTCATATGTAAAATATATATATATTTTTGCTATAGCTTTGACTGCTTAAGTCTTTTTTTTTTTGTTTTCTCTTCCCTCTCTGGGAAGCAGGTCCTTGTTGTCGAGTTTCGGGGACTTGGCGGGAAGCCAGCTCAAAACTTGCACACCTGCACAGCTCAAGCTCTTCTGAATATACTGAGATCACTAAGGGTTTTCTGAATGGTGCTTAGTTAGAAAGATGGGGTCTTGGAGAGAAGTAGTAGTTGACATGCAGTAGGAATTAATTTTTACTAACAGCTGTTATTTTAAGGATTTGTGTAGTCATATAGTTGATGGTTAGCAAGGGCGTAATTCCCTTAGAACTGCATTTGCTGGGTGCCAGTAAGAGTACAGGACTAAGGACTGCTGTCCTGGCTGAGGTTTGCACTTGCAGCTTGCTTCTGCCTTTGTAGCCTACTGTAAACAGCATAAAAGCTGTAGTGTGTAGTGACTGATTAGTATTCTAAAATAGTTTAAGAGCCCTCTGATGGGCCTCCTTAACATGAATTGTGTAAGTCATGAGTACCAGCGCCAAAGAAGACATAAATTAAGCCATGTATGTTAGTATGTAGTTGGCAACTACAGTTATATGGACCTTTCTCTGGTAATATATTTGTAATATATTGAATCAGCAGCAAAGATGCAACAATAGCCTTTTCCAGTAAGCAAAGAACTCAGTTTCATTATGTGTTTGTGCTGAACAGGAACAAATGTAGACCGCAGTGTGGTCTCCATTCCAATTTGTGGTCTGAGTATTATTGCAAAATAATGCTGATAATCCATTATGACGGATATATGTATGTGAAATTTCACAGTTCCTTCCATAGTCCTTGACATCAGGCCATCATTCTGCAAAAATAAAGTCATTCCACTCCATTTCTAAAATAAGACAAGCCTTCACCTCTTGCTGAGAAAATACTGTCCTACAAAACTATGTACCATTTATCACATATGGCTCATCAACCCAAACCAAACACTTTTCTTAACTGCCCACAAACTGACAGTGAGAAATATTGTTCTGTCATTTTTGTTCTCCACATATATACTAGAAACAACCCTATTTCAGATCCATTGTTCACCTATGGTCTGGACAGCCCAAACTACTCTTCCCACCCTCCAAATATATAGGGGCTGTAAAACCACACAACAGCTCCCTGATTTACCTCCTGATATTGGCTAAATACCACACTATGAAACTTCATGTTACGTGAACAGTTAAATGCCTAATTACTGTGTCTGTGTGTGCAAAATTAGAGTCTCAGTCTAGAAAATTTGGCTCTAAGTTGTTTGAGGGCTTGGTTCGAAGACTGTGGATTTTTCATTATTATATTGTAATTATTATAAGTAAATCTTGAATTTTACTTCAACCTTTATCAAGGTCTAAAAAATATTTAGAATCTTTAAGTTAGTTTTGTCCATGTGGTGACATATATCTTTGTTTGAGAGTACAGATGAAAGTATTTTGCAGTTATTTAGAAGCTAATCTCTGTAAATCTGTTAAATAATAAAAAGAGTAAAATATTTTATCATAAACTTTTGTGATACAGGAGGTAATCTTTGAATTTCAAACTTATTTTTATGGCTAAGTAGAAGACATATTTTCTGTGAAAAGTCCATTTGGACCTTTCTGTAAAGATGATTTGCCAGTGAGGGCCAGTGAATTTACCTAACCTCAGGTTGGACAGGAGGAATGACCATTGCCTTTCTCATCCTCTTCTGAGTAAATTTTCGAGTACATGTATCTATGTTATTCATAGACTTCATCAGTCTGGTCCCATTCTTCCATCAGGGAGCCATAATGAAGAATAGCTATTTGGCACAAAATGCTTATGTTGTCATGTTATTGTCCTATTATTTATTGCCTAGCATTGTGTCGGGATTAAAGATAAATGGCCCCTGCTATGATTGCTGAGATTTTGGGATTAGTTCTTATTCCAGAGCAAGCAAGCTGACTGGACAAGTGGGCTGATCACATATTTGTGACATTTCTACGAGTGTATTTACTTCTGAATCTTGGACCTGAAATTAGTGTATTTTTGCCTTATGTTTGTGAGGAATAACCTTTCCTACAATAATCTGAAGGAATGCTCAGATAGGTCGCTGAATATCACTTAAGTCCTATTGACTTCAGTGACACAGAATATGACCGTACACCTTCTGTGATTTATACAGTGCTGTAAGCTAAAATATCTTTTGCAGAATGACGATCACTGCACTTTTCTGACAGCTAATTATGTGACTCTCCCAATTTGGAAGTACTAAACAAGATTTCTGTTATAAACAACATCATAAATCTAGAATAATTCAAGTTTTATTGTAATGCATTACATGGAAGTTTAGATCATCTGCTGAGGTTCCCTTGCATCTTTCCTTCTCTCCACACTAGTGAAGTAGTACTGGATGGATCTAGGCCTACCATGAAATGCTGTTTCTGCTTTCAGAAATTCCAGGTTCTATCAATAAAATCCTGGGAGACAAAGAAATTAATTGAGTCTGTAACTTTGTCAAACCATTTGAGTTCAGGTGGTTCCCTGATATATAAAAATGATTTAACATTATTTTGAATATTATGGTTGTTTTTTTTTAAATTGAGGAGTACAAATTAATAAATTATGCCAGTGTCAGAGATTTTGGGTTTGCTTGTTTCAATCCACTGTGAAATTGTGTGGACAGTTAGTATTACTCATGGTTTTTTTACAACAAAATGCAAAATTTTTGAAATTTGCTTTAGCTGTAGTTTAATCTCATGCTGTGACCACAAAAAACTTGTAGGGCATGTTGTTCATACAAGCACACAGATCAGCGATGATGGACCAGAGTGTTTACCAGATCAACCAATCAGACATTTAGTAAACTTATAAGTTAAATGAAGTCAGACACTGCAACTACAAGGCAATTTCCTTTTCTGAATTGAGATCAATATTTACTAGCTTTCTACAATGTTGCCTATGCTTGCTTGATCAGCATCTGCTTCTGAAGACCATTGATTGTCCAGAAGGCCTTTTCAAAGGCAGATAATGCTCTTTTCAAATACACTTTGTATTGATCAGCAAAAAGAAAGTTTTTTGATGGTGCAGAGTGCAAAAGCCATTTATAAAGATTAAGGACAGTGATATGTCACTGTGGGTCACAGTGAGGTTGAATTAATATGGGCTAATGCATGTTCTACTTTTGAAGACAATAGACAGAAGTATTCGAGGATTTAAGTGATAGTATGATTCCACTTGCAAAATACCTGCTATGCTATCTCCAGGGACTGAAACCTTTCTCCTTCAAAAATGAATTGCTTGTTCCTACTCTTCAGTCTTTTCCCACACAACTATTCATATTCTATGCCCTATGACAAATTAATATATTAACTTGATGGACTTGGTGGAATTTGATCAAACAAACAAACAAAAAAAAAATCTTTGCTTTTAGGTGTTTTAAACCAATATGAAATAAAGAGGGATGAATGCGGCCAGAATTTTAAAAATAAATAGCCTAGGATAATGCCTTGGGTTTTCACAAAAAAAACCCCAAGGTTAATCCAAAAGTGAATTTCAGAGACTTTAACAAGCTTTACTTTTGATTCTTCTCCCTGCTATGTCATGTTGGAAAAACATAGTACATCTGAATTTTGTCCTAGAAATCTAAGTGTGTTCTAAAAGCAGTCGTATCTTCCTGAAAGAAAAAAAGATGATGGGATATTCACAGAGTTATTGGTGTATGAGCTGGCACTATGAGTTTGATACAGGAAGTGAGGTTTCTCCAAGGATGTCATAGACCAGTTATAATTCTAAAATAAGCAAAATGGAAAGAGCATGTATGGTCTGCTGGTATCTACATCCCTCCAACAATAGCAAGTGCAGCATATTTATGAAATAAGCATTTGGTTTCCTAGCTGGAGTTCTCTGCAAATGCCAAGGTTGATCACTGGAATATGGCACATATCTTCCATTAAAGTAAACAGCAGTGGCATATATAGTCAAGGACAAAACTCCAGTCTGAGTCTTTTAGCAACATCAGTAAGATATGTTTTACATACAGGAAATATGTGTCTTGAGCCTCTTGTCAAAACTTTCTCTACATATATGAATCTTCTTTGAAAAAAAAAAAAAAGGTGATATCCACAAAGGGCAAATAACTTTCTATTGTCTTAGTTAAAGGAAATTGATAATGATTAAACAATTTACTTGCCAGATTGCTAAAGCTCACACTTTCATAATTTCTGAGCTTTCTGAATATGCATATTATGGGGTTCTTGGCTCCTTTAACAGGCACTGTCTCTCCTCCTGTGGTCATGATGCATTAAAAGTCTTTTCTCCAACAGGTGAAACTTCCTGGTGATACTTTCAAAGAAGGAAAGTACAGTATAAAACTGGTAAGTTGTTAACAGTTTGAATTTAGTTATGAGTGTCCAAGGAAATTGATTCTGATCCCAAATGCATCGTCACACTGTCACAAAAGCAGCCTGAGAAGGCTGAATTCTTTCTAGAGTGGCCAAATCTATCTGTGACAAGAACTTGACTGAAATAGAGAAGAGGCTACTTTTGTTTTTCTTTGTCCACTTCTCATACAGAAGCCAGGACTTTTCCCATTTTGACGTGGAGGCTTCCTTTGACAGTTTACTTTTTCTCTTTTAAACTCCTTGAGCTTTTTTTCATAAACTCTTCTTGGTATTCATCCATATCAGGTCACTGGAGGGCGTCACCACCTCCAAACGTTTTATCGTTCTTTTTCTTGTAGTGCTGTTATATAATATGTTTATTATAGAGGATCCCGTCAAAGTGAAATCTAAGCTGGGTTGATCTGAGAGTTTATCCTTTATGGCTGTTTCCTGCTGTCCAGTTGGGGAGCTCTGGAGTTTATCTCTTTTCAGATGTACTTTTTGCTCCTGTTCCACAAGGATAGCATGTCCTCACCAGACCACAGTTTACAGCCTCACCCCTTTCTGCAGATGTCAGCTGATACTTTGATTCTAATTTTTTTTCCCTAAGACATAGCACATTTGGTTAAATTAATTATTCCACCTCTCTATAGATCTGTTATCCTATTTAGAATATCCCTTTTACTTCTTCACACCCTTTAAGATACTAGTGTAATTGAAATAGTAATTTTAAGTTTTTGTGAGAAAAAATTCTTGAATTCACAAGCGTTATGCATTTAAAAGTCTGTGGTCTTCACATTTAACATCTTAGTACCTTTCAAAGAGGTCTTCATTTGTTGAGAGGCAAAAACCATCTAACATTAGTATTAATATTTGACATATTAATTTTTCCATGAAGGTTCTCTCTATTTTGCACATATCATAAATGACAATATTAAGTTCTATAACAAATTTTTTAACAACTGTATATCTCATGTCAGTAAAAAAAAGTATCAGCTGTCACCATGATTAATGAGCAAACTCTAGGGGAAGAAATAACATGAATACTCTGCACACAAAGAGGTATTGCAATACAGACATTTTATTACCCATGTTCACAAATGAACCAAATAACTGCACACCCACATAACATGTGTTTATGGTTGATATAATTGAAGAAAATATGCCAAGAATTGCAGTTTTCACAAAACCAATGAATGTTTGTTGAATATGTAATGCTAAATTCAGTGCCACTTTAGACTAAACACCTCAATGAAAAAAACCCTTGAAAAAATCCCAAATCCCCAAAAAACCATCTTCTGCATTTTGAGTGAGAAAAGTAATGGACTTTTTTAAAACTCAAGAAAGACATCGGAAGACTAAGATGATATTGATATTGATATTAATGATATTATTATTACCATCATCATAATTCAATTTATATTCTATTGAGGGATATGGCAAAATAATATAATTTTAATATTTATTATTGGAAAAAAACAATTGTTACACTTCAGAGCAATTTTTTTTTGTCTGGTGTAAAAAATTAGGCATTGTTCATTTATTTTATGGGGCAAAAAGATAGTCAAAAGTGTTGTGGTTTGATTTACAAATCTGGTAAAAATAATTTTTAATATCTACATCGTAGCACAATCTGTGATTTTAAGAGTTGCCTGTGTGGTAATCAAGACGTATAAAAGACTCCTTGAAAATATTGTAATTAAATAAGCCATTTAGAGGTATTACATTTTGAAAATATTTTTTCCTTTAAGTACTCAGGCCTTTTTATAGAGCACTTTAGCTGCTAATCTTACAGACTTACAAAGTCTAGCATTTCAGGTTCTTCAAATCCCCCTTTGCAGTTATAAAGCAGAGGCAGCCTTGGTGCTGAACCACCTCTCCGTACACCTTGAGAGGTTTCCTGCTGAGTGCTTCCACTCTGTAGTGTACAGCTTGAGAAAGTTTCTATCAGATGGAGTCCAAGAGACATTTTGTTCTTACTCAAATTCATTCTTTCCCTGAAGGAGATCTGAGCCCTGGCTGGAGTAATGCATAAATGGTCAAGAAGCTTCCCTTTGACCATGAAGAAAACTATGCTATCCTCTCAGCTAGTGTTATCTCCTGAATTCTTTTCTAAGGCCCAAATTTTAATGGAGCTTGTTTTACACTTCACAGAATACTACATTAGCTTGTTGAAATTTTGAATTACTTGTTAAAATAACTGTTGATTTTCAGGAGGCCATGGTTTTACCCCTTGTGTGAAAAGCTCATCTTGTTTAAGTTCATACAAGGAATGTGTTTTTTCATGGGGCAGAGACATGATCAGAATAATTGAGTCCTTTATTACCCATTCTGAAGATGAGACATCCTGAGAGACTTAGAAGTAGTTAAATTGCGTTCATCTTGGATTACGTATTTCACAACACTTCTTCAGATCCAGAAGAGAACACGTGCCTTCTCGGACATCACTTAGTGGCCTCAACTGCAGCAAAGTAGATGTACCTCAAAGAGGTTCCAGGACAATGTTTCTTGGAAAGGTGTATGCCCCTGGTTGAAACAGAAGCAGACTGCAGCCACATATCATGAGAAGTGGAGAGCTGCTAGAAGGAACAGTCCTTCTACATCACTGCCCCCCTCTTCCCAAGCTAAGCTCATTGCATTTTGTGTACAGTTCGCACCACTGAAATTCCTGCTCCAACACCAGCAACTGGTCGGTGTTACTGATGTTACCAGGCAATTAAAATTTGCTTAGTCTGTGATGATGGATAATGTTCACTTGCTTAGGGCCCAGTCCACATTTCTGGTGCATGCTTACTTGAACTTGCCATACCTGCTGCGACCTACCCTACAGGGTGTTTTTAGTGCCCGCTTTAATGCTGGCCTGTTTGCATCTGTGTATCTGAGCAGCCAGTCCATGTAAGAACAGTCACAAACCAAATAAAAACTGAACAGCAGTGGAGCTTTTTAGGTTGCACAACTATCCTTGCAATATTCAAGATTCAAAATCCTACCATATGAAGGCTGTGTGCCTCAGACAGTGCAAAGCCCGTGACCCTGGAAGGATGAGGTTCAAGCTGATGCTTTTCTTATAGGCTTGGCTTCTCAAGGTCAGAAGTTTGGTCTGGGAAATTGTCTTTCAGGAACCCAGCCAAGATGCAGAAGCAAACTTGGCACTTGGCTCTCACTAAAAATGTCTCTGTCCATGCTGTAAACATCACTGCATGCTGGAGGTGGGGCCCTTTTTCCTGACTTTCTCAAGGACAGCCTTGTCGGAGCAGTGCTATTGGAACACTGCGTCTGAGGTTGCTTAGTACCTTTTTGACCTTGCATGGACATAACTGAAAAAATATGGAGCACTTACCCCAGACTCTCCTTTAGTCATGGACACTGTGCCATAGTTTGGGGCATGGCCTCTGAGAAAGGAGATGGGTATGGGAGTGGGTGCTGGCAGTGGGCAATCTGGTGAATGCAGGTACAGGTGGTATCAATGCTACTCATGGATCCCAGTTCCTTGAACGTATTTTCCCATCCTTTCTGTTTCTGCTAGGAAGCATGACTAACTTGTATACAGGTGCAGCCCAAGGAAGCTGTAGAGCCCTTTGAGTGTAAGGCAGTGTGCCTGTGCCATGCCCAAACAGCCTGTCATGTGAAAGTGTGAGAGCAGTTCATCTATGGACATTTTCACAGGGGGCATCTTTATAGTGTCTTATTTGTGTGGACATAGTCACAGCAAGCCTTTTGCAGTTCTCATTTGTGTGTCCCTGTCCTTCACTGAATTTATTTCTCACCTTCATTCAGTCACTATTGGTCCTGTCCTTTCTGGTGTTTCCATTCTTCTTTTCATGTGCCATGCCCATGCTTAATAGCCTCCCATTCGCCCCAAGAAAAGCAGTGATGGGTTGACACTTGTTGTAATCATACTGTTTAGTTTGTGAATTTTATTCCCTCCTGTCATTTTCATATATCATATTTAATTTAATTGTAAGCTGTTTAAAACAGGGACAGCTTTCCTGTGTTAATACAATGCCTTATTCAAGCTGTCTGTGACCTCAATAATTACTCAGGTTCAATTATAATAAAGAGTTATTATCAGCTACAATAATTATTCTAGGACCAAGAAAAATACAGTCATATCCTTAGCACATTCCTTTCCAGTTCTTGAGCAATGAGTGAGCCTGAACACAGTTGAGTACTCTGTACAATACTCTGTGTATTGTAGTGATGTTGTTTTGTAAAAGTTTTTGAATTTTTACAATTAACTGCCCAGAAGTTCTTCTCATCTGGTGCAAATAAGATTTTAACACATTGCTGACCAAGGAATAAATCTTAAAATTTTATCTTGCCTTGTCATTGTTTTCATGATTATTTCAGAGATCTTTTGAGGATGTTTGCATTTTTCACGTGAGGTATTTGTCTGGAAATAATAGGGGTTTGAAACTGTTCAGAGTTCTAGAAATGCAGGAAAAAGTTCTGAGTGGTGTGGGCAGAGTGCAGGTAGTAAATGATACATTTAACACAGCAAGTGCTTTCTGCCCCGTGTCTTAAGAAGACAGCACATACGTAACATCCCATATAATGTGAGGCACATAAGGACTACGTTTGCCACAAATTCAGATTTTTTAAAGAGTAATGTTGGCAGAGCACCAATCTAGTTTGTTTACCATCTGGTAGCTCTCCTACAGGTATAACTCTTTTTAAAAGTGCCTAATGCAGAGAAATCATTTCCAAGTGCTGTAGAATTTATTTGGACTTAGCAGTTTTTAGCAAAAAACCCCTCAGACTAAGATTCAACATACAGAATATTTGTCCATAATTCTTTTCTTGTGTGTTCTTCTGTAGGTTTGTTTACTTAAAAAGCAGATCTTGTTCATAAGTGCTCCATAACTAGTGGTAGCAGCTGAATCAATACTCAGAAGACACTCTGTCTTCTTATTACACATGCTACTACTCTCTTCTCTCCTCTGAGGAAAGCCCAAATCTCATACTCCTGTGTTCTCTTTTTTTATCTTTGACTG